AAAGTAATGATTTCCAAAACGGGTCTTTGCTGCCTCTTGTTGCACCGAGCCGGAAGTGTCGTAACACGATAGCGTACGCGATTTTTCTTGTTCTCCCACCGTCTAGATCTCTTTCCGAAATAATGATATCGATCATCATTGCATTTCACAAAACTCTTCACCGGGCACCAAATAGCGCATTCCTCAAAGTGTTTATGTAAGCTGCCTTAAGCTGCCACGAAAACAACGAAAGAGGAGTGCCATCTTATTTCCCTCCCACCCGCAGTACGGCTGGATAAGCAGTCGAAAGTCACCATTCTTGGAACAGTTGCACGAGACAAGGAATGGTCAGAGGGCTTGTCTCTGCTACTTGAAGGCTATGTCCTTGATATTTTGAAAAGGAAAGTGGTTTGATGAATTCGGAAGAACAAAAAATATGTTTCAATAATGCCATTACTGCACATCAAATGTATGTTACTTGGGAAATCTCTAATTTATTCGCCATATTGTCCCGAATGACGATTGATGAAGCGACGAAAACTGAAACCAAATGAACGTTTAATGGGGGTACCTCTGCCCAAAACATAAAACAAAAATAAACAAAAGAGAACAATAGAGCGTCTCGGGCGTCGTAGTCGGCGTAACAACAGGATCGTATATATGCGCAGGGGCGAAACTGACTGCGGTTCGCCACGCGGATTCCTTTATATACACGCGTTGGCTTCTGGAACGGTTGGCGTAGAAGGTTCGGCGTGTAGAACATTCGGGACTCGAACAAGCAACAGGGTTCTCGAATTTGCCACAACATTAAACTGAGAGATTAAATAAAAGACGCGTAACTCCCAGGAATCGAACGCTGAGCCTCCGCACGGAAGTCGAGCGCGGTAACCACTCGGCCACGCACGCGCTCGCTCGCCGACGCTCGTGGCAATATGAGTCAACGCATAAATGCGTTGACGCACATGGCGAATACATTACAGCATTTTCTTTCTGATATACATAGGCAGAAAAAAAGAAAGCGCCGAAAACGCGTGCTAAATATGTTCCTGTGAGTTCAATATTTTCATGCGACGCCTTCTGGAATAGTTTGAGGCAAAAAAAAAATCGGGTTGTCAAAGCATTTTTACGATCGAATGTGGAATATGTCGTTTGCCACTTCTCCCTCAGAAATAGAGCTAGCTATGTGGTCTGCCGAAAAAGAAAAAAAAAAGAGGCACACGTCTCACAGTTGCAAGTCACTACCTAAGCTCGGCGCAAACTTATTCGTTCTACGCTGTCAAAGTCAGTATGTCTTCTACCGTGCAGAAGCACAGTATTATTTTGAGAGCACGTCTCCTCTCGCGACTCCTTCGCGCGCGCATTTTTGAGAAAAAGGACGCTAAACAAATCCACGCAAAATTCTTTGACAACGTCGGAGCTCTTGACAAAAAAGCGACACAAATTATGTATATACTAACTCTGCACATTTATAAAATAAAATAAAGTTCACCTCAAGTAGATTCTTAGTATACCTAAGCATACATCAAATAAACTTCTATTTTACTTCGGATATTATTTTATATGGTGCACGCTTCGGCACTTTCTGACAAATAAGGTGTTCATGTAAGGAAAATACAAATATATATTAAGCATTTCTAGTTTGATAAGTGCTCAGTTCTTAGTTTGCTATATTATTTGTTGTGTATTTATTTTACTATATTATGTTTTGCATTTCGCGAACTGTTCAATAAAAGTAAAACATTCGCCTACACTAAGGTAAACCCTTTTAATAGGGAGTGTCGCAGAAACGACGCTAGTTTCGACAATGTAGCACGAATACATGAGAGAGCTTTAGCAGATCGTGTTCTCGTGCCACAATATTTGTAATGGTAGCTCGCGCTGTTGATTTGATGCATGCTCTGACGCACCCGCACGCAGCGGTAACGTGCCTTTAAAAACGATCTACTAAAGCTTCCTATAATCGCCGAGTGCAGAATAATAAACAGATCTGTGCAGCATTTCTGTGTAGTTGCTATACGGCGCAAACAGGGGTTATCAGCACTTCCTTGTGAATATTATATTTTGTTTGATTGTTTTCGTTTTAAAAAAACTTCGTGCCTGATAATATAATTGGTGGCCGAGAGCACGACCAGCCGTCCTCTGTTGCCTTTATTCTAGACAGCCACCATAGCCTAAATTAGGAAATCGACGTATTATCGAAGGTGAGCTCTGGAACTTGGCAATGTGAAGCTGCCCAAATACCACAAAGTGAGAATCAGAAAGGGTGCCAACGGGGGCCCCACGTCGGTTTTGCAACTCCGGCCCAAGTGGCGTCCACTTGGGCAGCCCATTTGGGCTCCCTCGGGGGACCCAGAGGGGGCCTACATGGGGCAGCTCACATTCGCTTTTCTTGTGGGTCCCTCCGTGGGTTTACTTAGGTAGCCCACAAGGGCCCGCATCGCGGGGCCAAAGGGACGTAGATGGGCAGCCCACATGTGCCCCCCCTCCCCCCTTGTAGGGTTCACACTGGGCACATATGCGGTCCCCCCCGGAAACCTAATTTTGACAGGGTAATTTCCTCTTTTCCTACGATTTGGGGTATTACAGTGCATCCCAAATTCAACATTCCTTACATTTTTCATTGGCAGACTGAAAGAATTAGGATATTGAAAGATCAATAAAACGTTTTGAGCAAGACCATACAAATTGGCCATTTTAATTGTACGAAATAGGTCAAAACCTCTGCACGCTCTTCATAAAATTCTGTTTGACAGCAGAAAAAAATGCATAACCAGGTTGAGCCAGCTAGACACACAACACTCCGACGAGCGTGTTTGGAATTCACCTTCAAATTAAGTGCTCTTTGTAAAAAGCTACGCTCAAAGTAATACGACCTTACCTTACACGATGAGTATAAAGTTAATAATATTTTGCAAGCCTAACAATGTTTGTCTCACGCTTCAATTTGAAGTCCTGGATTATTTAATATTAAATTAAACTGATATCTAATGTTGAATTTCCAGAACGTGTAGTACATATTCTCAATATTAGTGGACAGTGCCAGTGTTATAGTTGCACAGGTAGTCCAGGTTGGGCATGCCCACGCTTTTCCCCCTTGGTGCCCTCATCTTCCTAAAATTGGTTCCTGCAGAACCAAGCTGCACGGGGGTTCTACATTGTTAGCTGAACTCGGGCATGCCCACGCTTCGCCGCCGTGAAGACCTCATATCGCATTTGGCCCCGGTAGAGGCGAGGTGGGTCCACTAGAGGTTTTACGTGGGCAACCCAAGTCGGGCATGCCAACGCTTCACTGCTGTTGAACCCACATTATCGCAACCTGGTCCCGGCATGGCCAAGGTGGTATACACGAGGGTCTTACATGGTCAACCCAAGTTGGGCACGCCCAAACTTTGCCGGCGTGGAGCCCACATCATCGCATTCGGCCTCCCGCAAAGCCGACGTGGGTCCCACGCGCGTTATACGTGGGCAGCGCAAGTCAGGCATGCCGACGCTTCGCCGTCGTGGAGCTTTAATCACCACAGCTTGGCTCCCGCACGGCCGATGTGGGACCAACGGGGTTTTCACATGTGTAGCACAACTCCCTCGTGCCCATGCTTTGCCCGTATCTTTGCTAACTCTGCCTCCGCATTGGCGAGGTGGGATCCACGGATGTATTGCACCTGCAGCCAAAGTTGGGCATGCCCATGTTTTGGCCCCCTGAAGCACATATTTGCGCTAACTCTGCCCCCGCATACCTGAAGTGGGAACGACGGCGCTGGGCGTGCCCTCGCGTAGCGGAGACCACGAGCGTATTGCACGGGCACCCCATATTGGGTATGCCCACTCTGCGTCCACGTGGGACCAGCGTGGGTTTTGTGGGGCCTGCCCCAGCGTTCATTGCCCATGTGGGCCCCACCTCTTGTGCTACCTGATTGACTCACCAGATGAAACTCAGAAGGCACCTGAAGTGGAGTGGAAGTGCTTACATATTTTAAGAGTGTTTAAACGATAATAAATCTGTTGTAAAAAAATTATAGATCAATTTCCTGTCTTGCCGACCCTGTGCAAACTAAATTGCGTGGATGCGTTAAAAAAGATTACTTGTGGTGACATCCTTTCCCTCTAATATGTCATAAAAAATATAGTTTCCAATAGTTCCAATATACAAAATAAGACGATCTAAGCGTCGACTTCAGCAAAACTTCAAACGGAAATGTCCATCACACCATTCTGAAAAATGGCACGGGTTTATATTGAAGCATTTGAGCTAACAAAATATTTAGTCTCATAGAAACTTCGAAAAACTTACAATAACTTTTCAAAGTTACCATGATTTGAGGGTAACCGGATCAGCGATTTACGAAAAAAAAAAATTTTTTTTGATCTAAGCTAGTAAATGCGTCTGCCACCTCGAGCCCACACCAAATATATTTAATCAACGTACCAAAAGCTGCCCAAAATCGCGCTACTCGGTTCATTCATTTTTTATGTTCATTTAATATCAGCATATCAGCTTAAAAGTTGAATCAGGGCTCCCGCCTCTTCGCAGTCGTTCCCGTATCACCAGCGTTTGTTTGTTTAATACGCGTTTGTTCATTCTTCGCTTTGTCGACCACCTTATCTTTTACGCTCATTCGCACCGAATTCCCGCCCAAGCACCCGCACTGTCGCATTTTGTGCTTCATTTTTCCGCCGAGCAGCTCTGAGCTGGAACTGCATTTCTTACACTGTTGCAATCCATTGCTCATGCACATTCGTGAAAAATGTAACAGGACATATCTGGCTTTAAAATTGTTTGGCATTCATGTATACCCCATTTATGTACCCACCCCTTATGTAATAACCCTTCGAGGGTAATTAAGGGTAATAACATGAAATTAAATGAAAAGAACAAAGGCTAGCATAAGTTGCGAACTGTTATATTGTTTATTTTTATATATATTGTAATATAATTTCGATCCTTGTGGACATCTAGACATTACCCTGCAGAAATGGAATCCTCACTGTATGTTGCTTTTTTATTTTCCCTTGTGACATTACAGATTGAATGGCTGAGACTATTAAATAACGAGTTTGCAGTGGCCAATGTGACACTCAATGAGAGCGAACGTGTGATTGTACAGGAGCCTAATTACATAAAAGATATTCAGGGAATTCTGGAAAGAGAAAATATGTGAGTCAACGCATACGATTACATTACTATCAAATTTAGATACCACCAATCTACTTTAAAAACAATTTGTCTTCAATTTCCCCCTAGGTTTATAAACGTAGTATGGTGTGCAGCATTAAAAAAATATCAGAAACCTTTACTTTTGAGGCCTTACAGTGCATGGGATGCAGTGATCAAAATGGCATCGCTTAAATTTCTTTAGAAGACGTTACACCGTGATGTAAAGAAGTCAAGACAAAAACAAGACGTTCTTCCATCACGAACGTTTAGCGATACTCTGAGTTTTCAAACGCCAGTGTTTACAACCCCCTGCATCTCATAATTTAACGCATGGCATGCGTACATTTGAAAGCTGTTCCTAGACGGGCTCGCCGTTTCTTCTTCGGGGCGAGCGAGCGTGCTCCGTGACAGAATTTGCAATCCGAATTCATGTATGTGACAGCAACATGTAATCGCTGTCACGTAAGTTACATGTTTCGCTAAACTTGGCGGAGAAGCAGAATTGGTGTAGAGGTCACATTACATCAGCGCACGTCATGTCAATATCTCTGCTAAATTTACCGGGGAAACTGAACTGCTGTCTAAGTCACGTGACAATATTTTGCCGCTAAATATAACAAGAGAAAATAAATTGGCATATAGGTCACGTGATATCAGATCACGTGACATCAATTTCATCGTTAAATTGAGACGGCGAAATTGAATTCGTGGGTAGGTCACGCTACGTCGATTATCCCTCTAAATCTAGCAGAAAAGGGGAATCGGTGTTTAGGTCACGTGATGGTAATTGATGTCCAGTGAGCTGATGTCACGCGATATATACACCAATTAAGTTTCCCCGTCAAATTCGGCGCGGAAATTGGTGTCAGGGGACCTCTGACGTGAAGTGACCTATACAGCAAATCTGTTTTCCCCCTCAATTTTACGGGAAAATTGACCAGGTAGCCTGACGTCACATGACATATACACCAATTTCATTTTCCTGCTAAATTTAGAGGGAAACTTAATAGCACGTGACCTGACGCCAAGAGACCTATTCCCCAAATATGTATTGCCACTACATTCAGCGAAAACGATGACGTCACGTGACCTGGGGGTCTAATCTACACGGCGTGACTAATCGCGACTGTGTGCCCCGGAGATCACTGCCCTGTGCGATTGCTGAGTGCAGCGCCGCTGGGGTCGCGTGGCCTATACCCCAAATAACCTTCCCCGCTTAATTTGGCGCAAACACTCATGTCACGTGATCTAAGCACCTTCCGTTTCCCCACTAAATTTAGGGTAATATTGACGACACGTTACTTGACGAAACGTGCCCAATGTGTCCATACTAATTCCCCTCTAAATATAGCAGGAAAATTAAAGTCACGTGACCTACACCTCAATTTAGTTTTCCCACTAAATCGAGCGCGGAAATTGACGCCACTTGACCTATGTGCCAATTTTCATCTCTTAATGTAGCAGGAAAATTGATAAAAATAAAGGCTGTTCACTCCCCGAAGTTTAGTGGCTGCTAAATGACTTTAAACGCTCACACCATAAATACTGCATTTCATGCATTATAGGATTTTGAAGATAAAGGTCGCTGTCAAGTTTTTTCAGGACAGCGGTTGTACAGGTGCTTCTCACGAAGCGTCAAAAGTTCGAACTACGGGTTGGTCCCGATTCCGAAAGGGCAGTTGCGCTTCCTCACCAATCTTGTCGGCGACTCAGAGAAGTCGTGGAGAAGCAGAAGAGGAAGCGCAACTCCAGGCCCGGACGGGAAACGCAGTTCAGGCTTTCGCAGCTTGGTGTCATCCTTGTTTGAAAGCAGGTCAAGCATGCAATGAAAGAAGCTTTGAGGCGAACCGCTCTAAAAACCTCTCATTTGAATTTATAAACATATGGTGCCAACAACGAGTCAGCTGACCCGATTTGTGGTACACAGGTCCTCAGCGAAGGCAATGGCATAAAAATAAGAGACGCCAATCATACTCATGTGCATGAAACTAAATACACAAAACATAACGTCGCTGAGAAAAAAACACATCGTATATACAAAAAACCAACGCCCTTACAAAGAGAAAGAGAAGCGAGTACAAAACCCGAAAAACATGTTAACTGCGAGCGAGTTAACAAAGATGCACCGTATATCACTACTGGATGCTCCTCGCAGGATAGAGTTGCGGGCGGTCATATTTCAAAACATTAGAGCTGTTTATTTCAGATTCACACCCCACACTAGCAGTACAGGTCAAGGGTATATTTCAGGAATGACAATTGATGAGGCGGCGAATGACTGAAAGAAAATAAACGTTTAATGGGGCGAACTTGTGGCTAAAACAAAATAGAATAAGGCTAGCGTCACAGGTGTCGCTGGTGGCGTAACAGTTGGATCGAACGCTGGGGCGAAACAAACTCCGGCTAGCCACGCGGAGCCCCGTATGTACAGTCGTGGGCTACTTCAACAATTAGCGCAGAGGGCTCGGTTCATAGAGCATTGGGTCCTCGAACATGCAATAGGGTTAACGAATTTACCACAACGCGACATATTACAGAAATAAAAAGGTACGTCCGCTCTCAGGCATAACTTTGGCCCATTTTGTCGGAGTCATGCACAGTAACTATACGGCCCCCGGCGCGCTTGCTCGGAGACGCTCGTGGCATCGCTACGTGCAAGGAAGAAATGACGAGCAAAACAAATAAAATAATGGGAAAATACAGAGGGTGGTAAATCCTAGTCCTATCAAGCGTTGCTCGGGGTAACAGCTTACAGATTCATCGAGCGTATGGCGTGAGGCGCACGACGTGGACGACTTCAGGTCGTGGTTGTGGCGACATAATGTTCTTTGATCTGGCATTACCCCGCAGTTCAGATCTCCCAGTCGACGAACTACATTGTAAGGTCCGAAGTATCGTTTCAGGATTTTCACGCTTAAGCCGCGGGGGCGAATGCCTGTCCACACCCACACCCTGTATCCGGGTTGTAAGTGAACTTCCCGACGACGAATGTTTTACCGGCGAGCGTCGACGCGCTGCTTGTCTTTCTACCGGAGTCTGGTGTGCTGTCGGACTTCCTCGGCCCGTTGAGTGACGATCTGGGAGTCGCCGCTGTCGTCGTCGTCAGGTTCGTGGGGCAGCATTGCATCCAGCATCGTAGTTACTTTGCGGCCATTGAGCAGCTGGAATGATGTGACTCCTGTGGTCTCTTGCACCATCGTGCTGTAGGCAAACGTCACGTGGGTTAACAGCTCGTCCCATGTCTCGTGCTGTACGTCGACATGCCTGGAGATCCTGTCGGCGACGGTTTTGTTTGGCCATTGTGTTAGTCTATTTGTCTACGGATGGTACGCAGTGGTTTGACGGTGGCTGGTGCTACTGAGACGAAGAATCTCTTGCGTCAGCTGGGTCATGAACGATGATTTACGATCTGTAATTAGGACTTCGGGGGCGCCGTGCCGGAGGACGATGGACTCCATGAAAAACTTGGCGACTTCAACAGCCGTACCTGGTGGGAAGGCTTTTACCTCGACCTACCGTGTGAGATAAAAGGTCGCGACGAGCGACGAGTATTCATCGGCTTTCTTGCGTCGATTGTGGGAACGGTCCAAGTAAATCCATTACGATTTGCTGAAATTGTGCAGATCAGATGGCAGCGCAAAAGGCTGAAGATGTCCCGCTGGTCTAGTCGGTGATTTTTTCCGTCCGTTGACACTCGTGGCAAGATCGTGTGTAGTGATAAATTGTCTTCGCAAGCTTGGGCCCGTGGTACTTCTCACGTATCTAGGCAAGAGTCCTGCTATAACTAAGGAATCCCGCCCTCAGGTCGTCGTGGCAGGCGTGAGATATCTCTTCTCGAAGACTGGAGGGGATCACAAACAGCCACGCCTTGTTGTTTTCGCTGAAGTTCTCCTTGTACAGCACACCTTGTCGGATGAAGAAGATCGGTAGTGTTCGTAAGAAAACGCGGAGGACTCGTATAGCACCTTCAAGGTGGTCGATGAGTCCTCGCCATTCAAACCCACCTACTTGGAGTGCTGCCATGTCGCTGACATGTAAAGCGCCCAGAAAACACTCATCGTCATCGCCTTTAGTCCAGGCAGGACCAGCCTCGACGGAGGCCCTCAACAATCAATCGGCGTGACTGTGCTTTTCGGCCGGAATTGTAGACCACGGTAGTGCCAGACTCTTGCAGTGGTAGCGTGCACTGTGCGAGACGTCCTGAGAGGTCCTTCAAATTCACAAGCCAGCAGAGCCGAGTGGTGGTCGGTAACCACTCGGAACATACTTCCGTTCAAGTACAGGCGACGGCGAGGCATACTTTCTTTGTCGTAGAGCAATCACCTTCCGCCTTGGATGGTGTGCGGCTTGCATAGGCGATAATCCACTCTGTTTCATCCTCTATTTGAACCAGCACCGCGCCAAGCCCCGTGTTACTTTTTTTTAAATGTATTTTAGATACGTGCAACGCCAGTGCCGTTATAGCAGGTCAAAATGGCCAAGGACGGGAGGCATTTGAAATCTTCATTTAAGCTCGTCAAACACCGTTAACACTCTTCTGTCAACTGAAACTTTACGGCGTATTTTGTAAAGCAAGGCAGCGGCGCAAAAAGCTTCGCAAAATCTCGTACGAAGCGCCTGTAGTAGGCATAGAGGCCTGAAAATCTTCTTATGGCCTTCTTGTCCGACGGCGCGGAAAATGCGGCTACGGCGCGCGTCTTCCCGGGGTCAGGGCGAACACCCTCGCTGCTCATGACCTGACCTAGGAACTTGGGCTCACCATAATTGAACCGACGTTTCTTCCGCTTCATATTTATTCCATCGGCACTGATGGCTGAACGTACGGCACGGAGTCGCCGTAAGTGCTCGTCGAAGTTGCTGGCGAACACCACAACGTCGCTGAGATACACCAGACAGCTGTGTTATTTTCATTCTGTTAGCACGGTGTTTAGGACACGCTGGTAAGTCGCTGGTGCCGTGCATAGTCCGAAGGGCATCACTTACAGTTCGTATAGTCCGTCGGGTGTGACGAAGACAATTTTCTCCCGGTCCCGTTCGTCGATTTTGGTCTGCCAGAAGCCACTCTTCGCGTCCATCGACGAAAAGTATCGGAAGTGGCGCAGACGGTCTAGAGCAGGGATGGCCAGGCTGGCCTGGCCTGAGAGCCGCAAACAAAACCACGGAACTTTTTAGGGGCGTTTGGGGGGGGGGGGGTGGGGGGGGGCAAACTTAACTTTTTTTTAGAGTCTGACTTTACGTATGCGGGCACAAGGCTGTACGACGGTACGTATGGGAGTACAAGGCTGACAAACTGCCACCTGCAGTGTGCTTTATTCTGAAATCCTTTCTTTTTTTTTTTTTCTGGGGAAACGCGGAAAGTGGCAAAGGGGGGGGGGGGGGGGGGTCTTGTTACTAGGGATCCGCGAGCCGCACTTGGACCGGCGAAGAGCCGCATGCGGCTCGCGAGCCGCGATTTGGCCACCCCTGGTCTAGAGTATCGTCGATGTGGGGGAGAAGATAGACGTCCTTTGTCAAAGTGCTCAGTCGATGGTATTCCACAAAAAACCTCAGGGTTCCGTCCTTCTTTTTTACGAGCACGACTTGTGAAGCCAATGGACTGCTTGACATCTCGATGATATCATCGTCGGGCATTCCCTGAACGTGTTCTTCGACGAGTTCCCTCTCTTTCAAAGAAACACGAAACGGCGACTGGTGGGCTGGGTGCACGTCGCCGTCGGTAACGATGCGATGCTTCGCAATTAGTTTTTGGTCAACTTTCGACGACGCGGCAAAACAGTCACTGTGTTCAGCGAGAAAATGAACCAGTTGCCGGCGCCTTGGAACTGGGAGCTCGGGGTCGGTGTTGAGTTGTAGCGGCGACGTAATCTTGCGCTGTGGCGACGAGGTTTCCTCAAAAATTGCGGTGACCACGGCTGGCGCTTAAAGATTTTCGGCGTCGCATATGGTGGTACCCTTTAATAGGTACTGCCACTGCTCTCAGAGTTCTTCACGAGAACAGTCGTACGTCCTTCTCGAAGATCCGTTACGCCTCCTGTCACGCCAATTCCTTTTACAAGGAGCAGTTGAACGCTGCCTTCTAGAAGAGGTTCACCGCACACGGCTGCGTCGTTTATGATGGGAAGAAAGAACTCGACGGCGGCGGCAGGTTCACATGATCGGTCATTACTCGGATCGCGACTGACGTTGTGTTCGGCTCCACCGGTGGTATAACAGGCTTTCGCAGCGTCAATTGGTTTGCCCCGAGGTGGACGACGGCGCCATACTCGCTGATAAAGTCCACTTTGAGGATAACGACCAACGCAAAGACGTGCACAAGGACGAACTTCACACTGCACATCTCATCGTGGATCTCGACGCGAGCAGTGCATCTCCTGACTAGTATAATGAGGTGCCCTCCGGCGGTTCGTATTTGAGGTCCATCACACTGCGTCGTGTCTTTCCGAATACTGTGAGAGAGTCTCCAACTCAAAACTGAGTCGTCTGCTCCCGTGTCTACGAGTGCCTATGTGTCGTGGCCGTCAGGAACAACGCTTCGGTAATCGGGCACCATTGCAGAAGCGTCGTTGCATTGCGTGGCGTCTGGATACTGGGATCGCTCCAGCGTTCATGGAGGCTCTTTACTTCGGTCGTCTTCGGCAACGCCACCTCCAGGCGTTGCCGCACTTAGTTTTCCCGGCGACGCAGTGGAGACAGGCTTTCTCGACAGGGTTGTGGCGCTGGAGACGGTGGAACGTCGCTGCGATGGTGAGCTGGATTCTCGATAGGGAGACGGCGCGAAGGATGGAGAGCGTCGAATGTACTCTCCGATGTCGCGAGGCTGTTCGCCGTACCTCGGGCGTGGGTCGTTCGGGTGTAACACACGCAACCCAAGTCGGCGGTAGGGGCATCGTTTGTAAATGTGGTCCGCTTCACCGCAGTGACAGCAGATGTGTCATTGATCTGCAGTCCTTCATACATCGGTTTTCCTTGGCGCAAAATGGTCTCGGCGGTCGTACTTATGTCGTTCGTTGCGGCGTTCGTCAATCCCGTCGCGGTGGTCGTCGGACCATTGCGGTGTAAGTCAGCGTCTTCTCCTCGGGTGCGGCCGAGGCTTCAGGGGCATCTGGCAGTAACGCTCTCATGATTTCATCGCGAAAACCCTCGGAGATGGAGACTGAGGCCCTTCGCTCAGCAGTTGACATAAGCTTTTTATGGTCGTACAGGACGACGTCGCAGATGAGCTCGCGAATGCCCGGAATGCTGTGGCAATGGTCGCATGGGAACTACGGAACCCCACTGACGCGGAGTAGCCTCTGGTAGTGACTGACTCTGGCGAGAAGAGCATGCTCGATGTTCGTGGCTTCCGTTATGAAAGCCTCGATCGTCGTACGCGGCTTTCGCACAGGGCTTACGAAGAGTTTGCTTGACCCCTCACATTAGGACCGTCAGCTTCTTTGCTTCACGGGCGTCAGAATCCGCACGGTTACATGAGCCGAAGAACATCTTCAAGAAAACTAACGACTCTCTCGTTAGGACATTCAACCCTCGCTTGAAGAAGCTCTTTGCGCGTTTTCTTCGCTATTGGTTCGTGAACCTACCTCGGAGCTCAGGCTTGAGGACGTCCCAGGAGGTGATCGACGCTTCATGGTTTTCAAACCAGTTCCGCTGTGTGGCCTCCAAAGCGAAGTAAACGTTTTGAAGACACTGCTCCGGTTTCCATCCCTTATGGCGGGCCATTCGGTCCCATGGCTGCTCCCGGTTGTCGATGTCTTCATAGCTTTCGCGGTGGAAAGGAGCCGGTGTCCGGGAGGTGGGGGGGGATGTCGACGGGTGGGGTAGCCATCGTCGCGTTCTTTTTACTTTCGTTTTGTGGCATAGGGCCGAATTCCGGAGACTGTGCTTTAGTACGGCGGGTTGCTCGTGCGACGGTGCCTTTCTAAAAAAGTACTCTTTCGCTGGGGAACGGGCTAGCACTGTGGGCCCCCGGACGGGTATCCGGCATCGATTGTACCCGGACATCCACCGAAATGTCACGGATGAGAAGTTTTAAGGAGACGAATGACTGAAGTAAACAAAACGTTTAATGAGGCGAACTTTTGCCCAAAACAAAATAAGGCTAGCGTCACAGGCGTCGATGGCGGCCTAACACCAGGATCAAGCGCTGAGGCGAAACTGACTCGCCACATAGAGCCCCTTATGTACTGTCGGGAGCAAAAGCTTTGATAACACCGAACCGCCGACCGAATTGCATTACCGCGCTCCCTGCCGGCGCGTCGCCTGCAGAAGCCGAGATGCGGGCAGCGTGAACGCGCGTATCTTCTTATCTAATGGCCTGCTTTTTTTGCTCGCTTCAAGGCGACGCGCTCCGGTTTGATTGAAACCGCGGAAGATGCCGCTCCGGCAGCCGGGATTCGTCAAACTTTGCTCATCGCTCTGGACCAACGTTACTCAATCAAGTCAGTTTGCAAACTCCCACAGAGGGCGTTCCCCCTTCTTAGAGAAGCGCTGACATACGTCAGTTTTCGCTGATGACCCCTAGATTTGAAAATGCTGTTTGAAGCGTCATCCTTCGTGCCCGCTGAGGCTGCGTTTTGAATGCTGCTGCAAGACGCGCCGTAGCGAGCAAGAGGGCTGGCGCTTCGAACAGCGTTAGCCCGGCTGAGGGGTGCGAGAAGGGATCACGGCTCTCCGTGGGTGTTTGCCAACTGCGCTGATCGAGTAACGTTGCTCTGAACAGCGGTCTAGCGGCCAAGCTCGCGTGCTCTGCGTCACTCGTGCGGTTCATTCGACTCTCTCGTGCGGCACTGCGACACGCTAAAAACACTTATTTCCTATTCTGCGTTATTTTCAACACTTCCCATCCGCAATGAACTGATCTCACCAGCTAGTTTCGTTACTCTGCCGCCGCCGGCATGCATCGTGTGAGCTGCAGTCTTTCGGAACGCGCGATGACCCCGCTGCAAGTCGGCACGAGCAGAGCACGAAACAGCACAAGCTGCCTCGTTCATTGCCGCCTCAATTTTACGGACTAAAGTTATTGGGCCGCTAGAGGCGTGAGTGTTCGATCCCCTCCCCAATAGAGGTCTCACACTACAGAGCCGCAGCAGTGCTGGCCTCCGTGCAAAAAGACTAGTCCCGCGATCCATGAAGGCTCCGGTGGTATAACAAAACTGGCTGGTGTATTCAAATTGTTCTATGAATTATAAAGAATTAAGAAAAACTAAAACAAGACGATTATTTTTCAACACGTCGCCTAATCACTCGAAAGAGACGCGTGAACTGCTCGTGCCGCAGTGCACGCAAGATCGGTCGATCAGCCGCTCTTCAGAGCGGGATTGTTGAATCACGGCTGATGGAGCAGCATCTCTCGCCGTTTCATTCAAACCGCAGCGCCTCGCGCTGAAGCGAGCAAACGAGCAAGCCAGGAGATACGAAAGGACACGCGTGCGCACTGCGCTCGTCTCGGCAGCAGGCAGCGCGCAGTGAGGAAGCGCGGCGATGCAATTCGGTCGGCGCTCCGGTCTTATCCAAACCTTTGATCCCGACAGTAATCGCGCGGGCTTCTGGAACAAACAGCGTAGAAGGTTCGGGGCGTAGCACACTTGATCCTCAAAATATCAAAAGGGTTCTCGCATTTACCAGAACGTACATTTACGGGAACGCGACATTTACAGGAATAACAAAAAGGTGCGTCGGCTCCAAGGCATCGAACCTAGGACCTTTAGCGTTGGAATCAAACACGTAAAACATGGGCCCGCTTGTTAGGAGTTTCGAGTGGCAATATTTTGGGTGTATATATGGTATTGTCCTACAATCCCTGCTTACTTGGACGAGCGCCGGTCAGTAAAATATCAGATATAGAGGTGAACACTGACGCCGGATAAAAATGGCGACCTAATCACAAACGTTGTTCTAACATGTACGTGATCAGGCGCCTTTTTTCCGCAGATCTACGCTGTACAATTTTGTGCACTGGAAAACTATTGGAACTTATGGTAGTATGGGATCCAAAAAGCTTGACAAGCTCTTCGTTGACTTTCACAAAGAGGAAAACGGCTTAAAGAAAGTCGAACCACAGTGGGAGCACTGCCTCACCAGTATATCAGGCATAATGAAAGACGCAGTAGGTCGTCTCTATGTGGACAAAATGTTTGATCCCAAAGCCAAGGAAACTGTAAGCAAAACTTTTCGAGCTCACGATAAATGCGTTTTGTTAACTAAACCTTCGAAACACTACAATTAGTTTTTTTTAATTCATCTGCACTGAAAATGCCTGCCCTTTCTAAATGTATATAAATGCTTTGTCCGACACTTTGTTTTTGAGTGTATCCCGGATTTCAATCATAATAATTACGAATATCCATTCTTAGCTTTAATAATAAATAAAACGATTCTAATATATGTATTTAAGGCGCACGTTATCTATTTAATATTATTCGTAAAAAGCCAAAATAGGCGAAACCAAATTTTGAACCTAAATGTTATCAGTGCTATCCAACATAATATATAAGAAAGTGGTAGTGCCAATCAAGCAAACGCTAAGAACAAGAAACGTAATCGTTTACTTGGCTGGCATACTTCCACTAAATTATAGTTCAAGATTGATTCAGCCTGCAGACGAACATGCGCATTCTTATGAGACTCAGAATTTGTTCCACAGAAAGCATTACTACGTGTGCTCTAACATTAGGCAGTATGTTCTAAGCTAAAGGTACGGGTAGTTGCTGAGAACTGCCGGTCATGTAAGCATACAGCGGACATGCCAGTAATTTCACTGTAGTTGACTTCTTTGCAATTTCTAGGACTAGTGTAATTCAAAAGTGTACATAGTAGAGCTAGTCGGACGACCTAAAGTCTTATCTTATTGAAAATTAACTTATTATGTGGTGAAAGATACGAAACTCAGTAGAAGCAAAATGACACGGGAAAGAGAACGTCTCAATGTTAGCTACTGCAAAACTGTGACCCCGCATTAGAACTGGAAAGTTCAGCTATCGAACAATAACACTCCAACTACAAGAACTGCACACTCTCAAAGCAAACTCCGAACTACCCCAGATTGAACAAGTTAACTTAAGTTTTCAGGTGTTAAAGGGTTAATATATCGTCATGAATCTGCGCTCCCCACCTCTGAGAAAGTATTCATTTAAAATTAGTTATTTTATTCTTTCTTAACATACTGCCATCTGGTTTGGGGCACTGCGATTGCCGCAAATCTAGAAAAAAATATATACATTACAGAAATATTTTGAAGAATTATTTCAGGTGTTTTATAAAATTATCACACTGAACAACTATTTGAACGCTTTCAAGTGCTTGACATTCAAACATTATACAATTACAAGTTTGGACACATAGGAAAATCAAGTTTATTGACTGAATTAGCCCCCTTAGAGTGTTTCATGCCTGTTCACTCCACTCGTTTGCCGAATGCTGGAAAGTTCCTAGATCTAAAACTAACTATATGGCTATCAAATGCTCAAGTTTACGCTTCCTAAGTTTTCGAATTATGTAGACATGAAAAAAAACTATCGAAACAATTTCATTTTCTGAACTACGTCTTATGTTTTTATTTGTTCAACGATAGTGTGTGTGTATGTGTTTGCTGTTTGTGCTTTTTGCTGATTTTTATAATAGGACTGGATAATTAATTGTTTTCCTTTTGTACCTTTTTAAATACTTCTTTGTGTCTGATAAGGGGGCAGAGGGTTCGTCAAGCTGTCTATGAACAGCTTTCTTCCTCGGCCTCCTTCATCTATAATGTAGCATTGATAAAAATTTATTATTATTATTATAAAAAGGTATGCAAAATTTTACCACAGTCTTGTGAAATTTTCAGCATGATCTACATCCACCAACTCACATGAACACTCGCCACTTTTTGTCTATCATCTAGCTCAATCGCTTCAAATTTTATTATTATGAAAAATCTTTTTATATTGTAATCATTACAATATCTCAGAGCGTTCCCACTCACTTGCATTTGTAGCGATGACCGAGAAATGCATTATTTTAAAAGAAAAGAAAGCACTTCAGAACATGGTTTTCCCAGTGCTATAGCTGTAGAGACCAATCTGGTCCCATTCCTTAGTGACACCGATTGTCAGTGAGCGCGGACAGAAAAATGCCGTGTACTTTTATTTTTAGACGTTTTTTTTTTACTTTTTGATTATTGAATTGTTTTACTTAAATTAAGGCCATATGGAGTGGATAAAAAATGTTTCTATTTGCTAATGAGATATTTTTCAGAAAGAGACAATTTATTTAAAAATTGGGATACCAGTCTATACCTTATCTATCATCCTCGAGTGTGCCGCAAGGCTTCAAATAATATGGCCAATTATTTTCAATGTATTCATAAATGATCAGAGTTTCTGTATCCGCCATTAGAATATTTTTTTACAATATCTTGATGACATCGTTTTGCTTTGGCTGATTTTATCTGGTCACGACTGTGCACTACTAATGAATAATGTTAATGTGATGCATCATTGGTGCGACCGCAATATAACTCTAAATCCTAATAAAACAGTAGTTTTGTCCCCTCTACGTAGGGCTGAGTGCCAGAGAGATTTAGGAGTATATGTTAAATAAACGTTGTCTTTCAATTCAGATGTTTCGAATATTACAAATGCTGCGTTTCGAGCGTGAGGCATTATTTATAGTATTTCGCAAGAACTTTTATTGTGAATTTGTACATTCAATTTGTACTATTTTTTCATGCGTACGAAACTTGAGCGTAATTCGGCCGTTTGGAATTGCAATGGTTCTAGTAACCAACCAATGATATAAAAAGTGAAGTTGTCTTATTTCTTATTGTTTACTCCACCACTTTGGTCGCACTGTTCATTTCAATTATGCGAGTCTTTGGCGACGATACGGTTGTCTGGCACTAAACACGAGAAAACTAGAGCGATCTCATTTTTTGCATTAATGTTTGCACAGTTTAGTAGACTATCCGAGCCTGGCGTCGGATATCGAACTCTATGTACCGAGGGTAATATTACGAGTGACTCCCACTTTCTCAGTTTGAAAGATAAATCTAACCAGACCGATGAACCTATTGCAACATTTTTATAACACGTTCTGTATAATCAACGTCGGCATCTTCAACTCCTGTATGCAAATGTTCAAGCGCCCTTTTACTAATATTTCACTATTTCCTGTGAGTCCTAAACACGTTATTAGTGAACTTATCAAAATATGCCGAAATGTTGTTTGCTACTTTCGTATTTGTATTTATCGCTCGTTATTTAGCGTCATTGCAATTGTTTTGTTAAATACACGTTTCGCCAGTTTCGTTACCCATACAAATTGTGTAGGCATTATTGGCACACAAAATGTGGTTTTCAATCATTATTCGGGCATCATCTGTCCTTATCTCAAAAATATAAAGGGTTGAATGTACGAATTGGTTCAGTACATGAAGCTAGACTAAGGGCGCCTCTTCGCCACAAATGTACAAAATATCTTGCTAAGGCATGAAGCGCTGAATTCCATTGAAAGAAACATTAGTTCATACGTCCAACCTGCGGTAAAGTATATCAGAGCAGCGCCCAGCAGCAAAGAGCTTATGACACGAACGCTCTTCTTGCAGAAACCGACTAGCTTTCTCCCCGTCTTGCCTGTTTCGATGTGAATGTGCATCATTCCGGTGTGCGGTAGATAAACCACGACTGCGTGATTCACGTTAAAGACCCAGCTGTTACAGTACAATGGCTATGTTGTTCCTCCACAAAGCCGAATCTGCTTTGGCCTATTCTAAGCCCAGACGGAGCTCTCGCAGTATAAATATTTCAAACTTAAATTAAGTTTTGTTTTAGTTCATGATGTATAAACTGTAATCGCACGGTCAGGTAAGCATTGATTGCCAAACATTTAAATAGCTTATACCCCTCATCATACAACTAGCTTTTAATAGACGTTTAATGCCTACCGCTCGCGGAGCATAGCCATGCTCACTCTTTTAGCAAGCACAATTGCCAAAATAATCGTCTAAACAATATATGGTATCGAAGTACTACAGATATTTTTGTTTGTTTCGGGGGCACATGAGCAGTTTAGCCCCACTCTCAGTATAACCCTAGTGAAAAATACACCAGGCCGAGGGCTGGTGTGACTTGTTGTGACACCAGACTTTTCACAGATGTGATTTGGGACATTTTCATACCAGTAATCTTGTGTTCTGGTGTGACACCAGAAATGTGGTGTGCTGGTGTGACACCAGCAATCTGGTGTTCTTGTGGGACATCGGGTTTTATTGTGGTGTGGTACCAGAGCCCCTGTTGACTGGGTGTTTCTTTACTAACAAAAAAAGGGTATAATGATAAGTTTGACAACAACGCTGCTGTCATAATTACGTTATTGAAAAAAGCAAAAAACTACAAAAGTAAAGCTTCAGAAGCTTTAGTGTTGTAAGGAGTTAGCCGTGATCAACTGGAGTTTGACCGGAGCCACTACCTTGCGTTGAAGAACGGGACGACCTGGCGTTCCCAATTCTTGGCCTTTTCACTTGCGCTTGACTCGTGCCTTAGTTACGCAGATCCATTCCGCGTACACCTCCGCGCCAGTTATCTCCTCTTCTAAGGCATCATATTCGATAGATGGCTCGGTTTCTTTGTCCAGCTCTTTCATGAAAGCCTCCTTAAGTAGAACAATATCAAATCTTTCTTCGAGCTCACCGATGTTGGTTGGATCCGTGGCCAGCAGAACGCCAATCTCGTTGGCGATCTTTGTTGTGGCGGTCAGCAGGAGTCCTCGTTCGATTCGGGCAGTGGACGCCCTCCTAGCTCGTGGTAGGTATGATCTGGCCGTTAATTCCCGGGTTTCGGCACGAAAAACTGCAAAATAATTACTAGCTTTCTTTGTTGTTTTGCTACCAGACCTAGCGCGTCAGAAGTCAGGAAAGCGCACCAACACACATTATTTGGGCTTCGACTCACAGAGAGGACTCCTTTATTTTTTTCAAACTTCAACAAGAATACTGGCGGAAAGGGAAAGGAAAACCCGCGAAGAGGCGAGCACCCCAAGGTGCTCGAGGCCGCCCGGGAAAGGGCTGGGGACGAAGGGGACACTTCTTGATCACAACGGAGCCCGCCACGGGGTCTCCGGAGACCACCAAGACGGGAGGAAATGAGGCGCCGCGTCGGGGGAAGGGGCATCACGCGAACTAAT